CAATCAATTTAACTCAAATCTTATTCGTGAGTTCTAAATTAATAGTATGAATGTATTTTGTTATAAAATTTAGGCCGATTATTCTGCTGTAGGGAAAAAAAAAAGGAAGGAAAGTTGAATTTTTAAAAAATAAAAAAAAAAATTAGAAAAATTCGAAAGCAACATCTATCCATCTTCGTTATCTCATTTTTTTGGTTATAATCAACTGAAGAAATCTTCTTTTTAGTTGTTAAAAAGTAAATTTAAACTTATTTTCTGGACATATATGATGCTAAAATTAATCCCAAAGAAGTTCGATTACAATTTAAAGAAAAAAAAATCTGATCATTTCCAATAGCGTTAGAAATTATCTCATGAAATTCCCATTTCTTTTTAAAAAAAAAAAGAAAAAACTAAAAAAATGATTTTAATTTCAGATTTAAAAAGAAATTTAATCAATTTAATTTTAACCTTATTCATTTATTTTTAAAAAAAAACAACTTTATATTACATCTTGCGATTATGAATGAAGAATGTATGTAATAAGGATAAGATGATAAGAAGAAAAAAAAAAAAAAAAAGTGATAACACGGATATGACAAAATTAATACGTTCGGCAACAAAATTTTGCTTAAAATGTTGAATTTTGGATGAAAAGAAAATATAAAAATTAAGTAAATTTGTAATATTAATAATAAAAATAAAAAAAACAAGTGAAAAACTTCAATTGCGAAGAATGTTTATTGAATTTTAATCATTTATTCTACTAAAAATAATTCAAATTACTTTTCATAAATTTAATTTTTCAACATCAAAGTTTTGAATTTAAATTTAATTTCAGTATCACATGTATCACTTATATTTGCTCATCTTCAACCATTCCTTTCAATGACCACAATTATGGCAAATAATGGTGCATTGCTTACTGCATATTATGTTATTGTTAAAGATGATGATATTGATGTGGGTGATTCATGTACGTCAATTTCCAGCGAAAATGATTCACTTCTTAATGAACATCCAAATCTATCAAGGTATTTTAATTAAAATTTATTAATTTTATCAATATCATATAATTGTTTGAAATTTTAACAAACAAATTATTGCAATTTTAATTTGATAATATTATATTGTTGAAAAAAAAAAATTTTTTTTTGCTTTTACTTTTTTTTTCAGATGTTATTTGAGTGTTAGTTTCGACAGTTCTTTATTATCAAATTCACGGAATGTTAGTTTTATTCCGCATGGATCAGTAAGTTCGGAAGCATCATCTTTTCCTCTACGTGGAATACGATAATTAGAATTTTCTAATTATACAAATTGAAAAACCACTAATATTGTGTAATATTTTTGCAATACTTTTGTAATGCGTTTTATTGATGCGATTTTTATAACTAATGATATTATTGGTCCTTAAAATTTAACAATTTTTTTGAAATTACTAAATATATACAATATTGCGATATATTCAAACATATTGTCTGTCATAGGAAAAAAAAAATACTTTTAGTTAGAAGTAAATTTTGATAGATAACGTGGAAATTTTTGTTACGAAGCTTTTTCAGCACAGCTTTAAAACTTTAGGGAGTTGGAAACTTTTTCCCTTTATTGTTGTTTTGTTGTTGTCTTGTTGTTCTTGCTGCTGTTGTTGTTGTTGTTATTGTTGTTGTTGTGTTCTCATTTTCCACATCTGTCATCCCTTCCAGAATATCAAAATTGTATTCCTATTCTGTTATTTCACTGATACCGATTCTTTTTTTCCTTATTTCCTTCAGTTATTTACGTTATATTCCATTTGGTACCTCGTTTAAAATAAATCAGATAAATGCAAAGTTGAAGGAAAATAACAAAAGATTACAGAATTGCTGTAATAAATCATCGTTACAAGAAGTTTATCTGTTACCCTTTAATCTATGAACTTAAACATAACTATTACCAATTAAATCAATAAAATATGAACTGTAGGAGTAAAATTTACAATAGTTAAAGTTAAAATTGTTTCAAATTTTATAAATGAATGATTACTTGATCAAATCCTTTTAATTCTGTCATTCTTTGCTATCTCTTTCGCTTCATAATCCTATTGATTTTAATCGTTAGCATAATAATGAAACATCATAAATATTTGCAAAATTTCTCAACCTTTGAATGTAACGCTACTTGACCAGCTATAATAATCCTTTGATCTCTTTTACTGCAAAATTTCTGCTTATTTTTGTTCTTAATGTTTAAATAATGTCTGCCTGCCTCAAATATTTTTTGATTTATCGATTGATTACGGGTGACAAAGCAGCCGAGATGGATTTATCACTTACCATTTATGTTTCATAATTTTCAACAATTTCAACGAAACCGACCCATACTATCAAATTTAAAAAAAAAGAACCGACCCTATCAACCTCAACTCTACTCTTTCTTCTCCAGAAGAAGAAACAAAATCTTGTTCATCTCATCACACATAATTGAGCAAGCTATCAGTCGTCTTCAAATAACCCTATTTTTGGCCCAAATTTAAATTATTCGTTTCACATTCTAAGAAACAAAGACAAAGTTAACAGTTATTTGTTATGGAATGCGGAGAGAAAAAGCATATATATATATATAGATATATATAATCACAAGTAACCTTACAAAAATAATAAATTATGCACAACAGCACATAAAAATAATAAAAATTTTAGGTTAAATTACGCACAATAGGATATACATGCAAAAAGAGATAAGTGAAATCAGATATAAGTTGTATAGTTCCTTAATACTGATAAGAATACAACTCTGGAGAAAATTAAATAAAAGATTTTCACCTAAATATTTTTTGTCCAATATCTAATTCCTGCAGCCATTACTGCATCGTGCTGCAGACGAAGTAATTTAATGCATACAGCGAATTATCAATAAATCAATCGTCCTTACTAATTGATACCGATATGTCTAGCAACTTATTCAAACTCATCCGCTGCTCAAATTACTTATTTCCAGATACTAGCAAAACCCAGTACCGTCCATTCCAAAAACTTGATGGACATACCAGGTAATGGATAATTACTACTAATCTATCGCTTCAGTTTCTATGGAACTTCTCCAGTTAAATGATACAACATAATCATCTCAAAAACTTGAGATGATTGACACACATACTAAGTAATGGATAATTTTACCAAAGTTGTGCTTTCATATATATATATATATATATATATATATACATATGCATATATAACTCTTTTAAGATCTAACCCAAATACCCCAGTCCATCATTTTCAAGTGTTTAGGTCAGAACTTAAGAAGGAGAATGAACAGTATAAAATTTCATAAAAATCGAAAAGTTACTTTTGCCTCTCAGCAGACTAACACGAATAAACCATGACAAAAGAGAACATAAAAGCAAGAGCAAGTATCACAGGCACAGAATAAGTACAGAAAGGAAATAAAAGGAAGCTTTCTATTATGCATTAAAAAATGTACGTAAAATAAATGAGTGATATTCAAATATTATTCTTTAAGCCTCCACAATTTATTTATTTTCGAGGAATAAAAAGAATGAATATCTATCTAAAGAAATAAATTTAGTTTTAATGATATATATCACAAATGAAAAATAAACAAGTATAGTAATGACATAGAAATTACATGGTCGGTAATCAATGAAGAATGGAAATTCTAGAATGAAACCGAGAAATAGTATCGAAGTTGTGTATTTCTGATCACATTCCGTGTTTGTCATAATTGACAAACTAGTGCTTTTGGTTGCACTTGAAGTATTATAAGTTACAGAAAAAAAAACGGAACAAAGCATGCACGTGTATTTAAACACGAATTAACATAACCAAACTTGCTAACCCGTATCAGAAAATTTTACACCATGACACACCAATGAGTGTCGTGATGTAATGTGACGATTTTTTCGCATGTCTCTTTTACTTTCAAATAAAAATTAGTTAATGCCTTTCTTTATCGAACTTATGAACATTCAGCAGCAACAACACTTGATAAGATTTAAGAGCAGTAATCAATGCTTGTTCGACCTGAAACTATTTTTTGCAATCTTCTGCAGTAATCTCTAAATTCTCAATAAAAGTCACCAAAAGAACATAAAAATCATCAGCAAAACTGAGGTTGCAAACAGAAAGAATATTTTAGCAAATTCCAAAGTATTATGTAATTTAGCGTTGCAGCGTTAAAACACGACAACATTTATCTTCCGGTAGTTATGAATGAAACGAAAACATGTTGCAACCACAATATGGTCAATAAAATCAGGACGTACATACTACAAACAGTATAACTGGTAGGTGACTATCACGATCTAACAGTTATGAAAAGTAGACAGTACTATGTATTAAAGCTACAAACCTGAGGATCAGCTTTCGCACTTGAAACACAGTCTACAAGAGTTGGATAGAGATTAACGAGTTCCGTATAGAATTCTAAATTGAAATTGTCAGCATGACGTACAAGCCCTTCGATAAGTGTATTCACGGCATGCAACACAGACGTCATTTCAACAGTTCTTTCTTGAGAAAGGCGCAATTGTCCAGCGTTTAGCTGATCACGTACGAACGATAACATTACCTACAAGAAAAAAATTTGATTCATTCAGAAATGTACTACGCGAAGCATAAAACGGTATGTGCAAAATATGACAAAACAATAAATAACATATCTATAGCTGTGAGGAAATGGTCAGATAAACAATTACTTCTTTGCACCTGGCCAGCAATGACGAGATAGCGGAAGTACCTAAACTTGATGATGCAATACACTGTCTTCTTTTTTCACTTTCACTTGCTCCCTTGATATCGTCAGCAACCGCTTACTTAAAAAAAAAAAAGTATAAAAAATTTCTAACTAATCAACTTTTTAAACGATATTAATAAATTAAAATAACAGTTCAGTCACTTTTTACCTACGAAACTTTGTTTAGAATGAAATGAACAAAGTATGAATTATATCATGGAATGCAGCCTAAAATGAACATCATTACATATTTATTATGAATGGCTTCATCGAAAATTCCGAATCTTAATTACCAATGTAATTCATACCACCAAGAAAATGTGCTGGTGCCGTACTTCGCACAATATCTGGTTGTTCTTCATTCTGACTCATTGATAACAGCGCTTCAAAGCATACTTTGGATAACTCCGCTCGTTGTGCGTATGTGTCTAAAGCTACAAGAAAATTTTACCAATAAGTGCTATTTGGGAAAGACTAAAATTAAGAAATATGAGCTATGAGCTTATAATCCCACAAACATAAATTTGAAAAAATTTTTACACAGCAACATTATATATTGTAGCCCTGTGTAATTTCAAACCCAGAATAAAACGGTACCGAAGACATCAGATGAATCCACAGTGCTTATAGAACCACGATTAAGTATATCGATTATTTTCTGGATAAAATCCGCTGGCAATACACTTGCGTAGGGCAATATCTGAAGTAAACATTTCTTCTACAAATAAAGAAGAACTGGATCTAAACTGGAAGAAATCTGAACTTTCTTTCTTTTGCTAAACCGTATGGTGTGCTGTTTTTAGAAAAAACACTTGTTTCTAAACAGGAAAAAGTAGTTCAGCAAATGAAGTCTGAATTTTTACCTCAGATCTGATCAGTTCTATCAACTGGCAATCGATAAATTCATGTCTTTTCCGCTCATCAGCATTTAACGGACATGAAGGACGACTGGAAAGTATGGGACGATCAAAATTTCACAGATGATAAAATTAACCATGCTAAATTTTCAAGTATGTTTCGTGTTGTTGTTGAAGAATATTTAAGCCCTACATATAAAAATGCGAAAAACACTGCTACTTGGAGACCTAAAGTATAAGTTCCAACTTACCTGTTATTGAACAGAAAACGATCCAATGTATCAGCGATCACCGGCCAAATGGCGTGAAAATAACGAGCTGAAAATTACTTTCAGGTATCGATTAGCAATAAAAGTTTATCACAACTTGCAACTCATTTGCTTAATCCCAAAACGCTCCCAAAATCTGAGCACTTTTCCCGAGCAAATGAATAGAGGTTATCCAGTGCCCTTCTACAACTACGTTTTGACCCAGCTTTGATAAACAATAAATATTTTATACATTCCAGCAAGTGGAAAACTCACACTGCTGCCTGGCAATAGGAAGGCCTAATCGTAAAACGGTGACAAATGCTGATGCTGCCGCTTTCCATGTACTTTGAGAGGGACACTGGTATTTCAATTCCATCGGTTGCGCTAAGCACTGAAGAAAAAAAAAGAAACTTTTGGGCAATTAATACATGTTAGCTGATGGAACAAGAAGATGACAAGAAATGAGAGTGAAAAAAAATAATATCCAGTACAACTGTGAAGTATGAATAGTTCGAGGAAATGAAACTGATTAACGAAAAAATAAACGGTGTTGTTAAATACCAGTACACTCAGACAATAATTTGGACGAAAGTGCTGAAAACCTCTGGTTCAAACCAACTTCCTATACTGTAAATGCACTGAACTGAATATCCGAACACTGCTGTAGATCAAAAAAGAACTGCACCTTAACAATATCAACAAATACAGTAGACTGAATAATTTCCTGGAAATGCGCGGTACCTGCATAGAATTCCACCATTGTTCGTAATGATAATTCCGCAAAAAATACTATATTTTGTACTCCTTTCTAGAAATGTAAAGTGACGGACGATTACTTTTTATTGTATGTAAGCAATGGTGAGAAAATTTTACATGTACTACAAGAAACCAGAATTGAAATAATGCCTAGAATCTCATACCACATTATTTCTCATTAAGAGACAATTGGCACCACTGATTTGAAAACAGAATGGATTTAAATGAGCCAATAAACAAGCTTCATGTAAAATCGATACTGGAATAAGATAAAATATGTACTATAATTTCAAAGAAATAAGTAAAATGAACATTTTCAGCAAAAAATAAGTAAAATGAACATTTTCAGCTTTGTTTGGCTCATATCCGATGACCGGTGGATGGATAGCAAAAGTTGTGAAATCAAGCATCAAATGGATGAGATCAGGCAAAGCTGGGCGTAGCGATGAACCTGTCTCTAACATGTCCTGCAAGAACGTCTGTCAAATAGCTTTTTCGATTAAAAATTACAAATCTGAATCCCAGCAGTAGAGACTAACTGTTTTGCAAACCTGATATATAATTCGAACACAATTGAGAACAGCTTCTAGAGTTGGATTAATGTCACTTGCATTCGACAATATAAATGGGACTTGTTCTGCAGTTAGTGGCACACTGACAATACCCTGGAAAAGTCAGTAATACATAATTTATCCAGAATATTTATTACAAATTGTCATATTACCTTTAAAATAATCGGCACTTCATCATATTTCAAATCATCACACGGAATTTTCTTTCGAACTCTTTCAAATAAAGGAATGAATATGTGAAGCAAAGTGATGAGATGCATCTGTCCAGGAATAAAGTTCCCTCCACTCCTAAAATTTTAATATATAATTTTTACAAAATATGAAAGTCTACCAGAAAAAATTTTTTCAAAGTTATTCAGTATGCAAATTACGAGAGCACGAGGTATCTAATCGGCAATGATTAATAAAAAGAGGATTAACTTGGTAAGGTAATGCTTTGAGAACAAAAATACTTTTTGGGCCAACAAAATTATCTGAAAAACTCATATACTAACTCCTAATCCCACCTTCCCACTAACGATAGCTCCGAGATCTTGAACACTGAAACAAATTTTACCTCTCGGATAAAGGCATCGTAGTTTTCGACGATAAATCAATTTTGAAAGGTTTGGTCAAAACTAACGTACGTGACATAACCAACCAGCTCTTAAACAATCGGTATTAAATCAAGCTGATTTTAATTTCACAATTTTGCAAGAACTGCGAAATGATGAAAATCAATAAACAAACAAACGGTAAGACGAATGGTCGTTATAAATTTATAAGTTCCAGTCAAACTACATTGAGATGCCTTCATTACAAAGTGTAATGGCTTCAACGCAAGCATGAAACATACCTTCCAAGAGGTAATCCATAGGTGCTCCGGCAAAACAGGCGGTTCATCACCAACAACACAATTTCCATAGGCACAGCTATAACATACAGTTACATATAGAAGGAATGTATAGACATATCAATGTAGGGACACTATATCAATGTGAAGTTGCTCCTTCGAAGATTCAAGTGCAGAAAAACTCTATTATTCGTTCTAATATTTGTTATAGAATCTAGAATCTAGAAAAAGCAAATCTGGAACAATCATTAAACTGCTACTGTTAACCATAAAACCGAATCAAGAAATAGAACTTACTTGGCAAACCTTTCTCTCTTACCCATTTCATAGCCTTGTGACGCTATTCTACCCAACAACAATTCCTGCAAACATTTCTCATACTTATGTGAAAAGTTATAGTGAACTCTGAAACAATAAGGCAAAAATACTCGCTAGAACCAAAAATTTTTGGGAACATCACTGGGAGCATGAAGCAATGTTTCGGAGTTTTGTTTCGATTCGGCATCTCTCCAAGAAATGCAAGAAAAGTTTTGCCTTCATGAATACAAACCTGGAAGCTTTTAAGTGCAGCCAACGTCATTTCACTATTATCAGATGCGGCCAAGTACTCGATATAATGGAGAAGAGTAGCCCAGATTGTCGGAAAGTCATCTGAAATGCATCAGCGATCGCTAATTTCTATTCAAGTGCATAATCTTTGCTTCCATACTAGATCCATAGTGCGATTCAAATTATAAAATCAGTTGTCTGAAACGACTAAAAAAAAACGTGAACCAACCAAGTGCAAGCAAAAGTGTTCGTTGGGCATTGAAAATTTTAACAACACCACTGAGGGTTTGAACTGACGTTTCGGCCCATTGTTTTGATTCGGTATCTCTCGAATGATGTATAAGTATGTTTGAAGCACCCAAAGGTGAACTATCCGTTCGCGTTGTTGAAGCGTTAAGTGTTAGAGCTCGTACTTTGTCCAACATTGGGAAAAGTATCTGAAATTCCAAAATTTCTTTTATTACCAATTCTATGGATACAACTAGACATTAAAAATCTAAAATTGAGAAGTCGATATTAAGATTCATATAATAAAAATCATGTGCCGTACCCTTATAAGACCCAAAATGAATAAGGGTTAACATTTCAGTACCTTCCAGATCATATGCTTCCATGTAGCTGATTTCAGCGCTAAACCATGAGCAGCAATTGTTTGCAACAACGTCTGACAAGCACTTTTACGAACTGGTGGTCTAACATCAACGCACAACTCGGATAAGCAATTGTATAGCACAAGCCAAATTGTTTCACTTTCTTTCTGCGAAAGTTTTGGATTTTTCCGGTATACAAAATCAGAAATTGTCCACTGAAATGAAGAAATTGTTTCAAATATGGAAAACAGCTGCCAAGATCTGAAAATCACACACACATTTAAATTTTCAAGATTCTTGTTTGCAGCTATCTTTACATACTTCCTCTTTTAAATTATTCAAATGATTATCGTACAACACTCACCAACTGCCCCAAAGCTGAAAGAGATATATTTAATTCACACTGTTGGGAACCATATTTTGCATCAGTTTCAACAAGCAGCTGTATACAATGAAAAGGTAATATTTCGAGAAAATCTGTAATCATCAAAGCCACCGCCTCATAACTTTGTTTTACCAGTACTTCATCGTAACTAAAATTTCGAAAAAATCTTGAAGATTTTTAATTTTCTTTAGTAATGAATTCTTATTGTTTCTAAAGAAATATTATCAGTTCTATATGTTTCTACAAAAATGTTTGAGCAAGTAAGATCACAGAGCACTGCCCAACAATTCCAGTCAAAATTGTTACCCGCTAGTAATAACTAGGTTGAACTAAACAGTTCAATGGTAAATAGTAAACCGAAGTCCAACGATAATATCTAGCCGTGACATAATGCAGTAAAATGCAACCTTAATTTCCCAGCCACAACAACATGAACAATTTCAATTACGGTTGGCCACTGATCGGAGGTTAACTGCTGTCCGGCTGACTGCAACACATTTAGAAGGCATTCGATTTGCTTTCGGCGTACATCTATATATTCATTTTCGGACATTAACGATAAAGGCGACAGTATCAACTGCTGACGCTTCTGCAAAAGGATGGCATGAAATGAAATGCGAATATTAAAAAAGCACCAATAATTCAAACGATTCCAGAAAACTACTAACAAACCAGGACTACCGAACAATCTGAAGAAGTTCATTTTCACTTATCTTGAAGTTTTACTCCTTTCGCTAATCAACATTGTCTGATTCCTGTGACCATACATCATGTTGAGGAATTTAAGTTCAAATTATCAAGAACATGAAAATATTACGAAAGATAAAGTTTACAAAAAGATTTAGAAACTAGGACTGTAACTGTGGATTAGTAATAAAAAATAACAAACCGATTCAGCAATTGCAGTCTTGACTTTTAAAGCACTTTTCACCAATACTGTTAACGCCTGTGCACCCCACTCTCGCAACTTTACATAAGGATGTCCTGATACCTTCAACAATACAAGTGCTTTCTAAATGTATTTCCACTTACTCTGCTGTGTGACATAGTTGGATAAATATTAGGAGAATTTAAATACAGCGTCAAGTGATATGAAACCTCAATAAGATGAGCCGTTACAGGCCTCCAAAATACTTCTAGGCGTGCAAGGTTTGCCATCCCTGTCTGTTGCAGCTTTGCGACAGGAAAAAAAGAAGGCTCACGAGAACCATTCTGTGAAACCTAAAAATCCTTTTATTACATTCGTAAATACTTCGAATTCTGAACAGAGTAAAATTTCAAAATTCAAAGCTTACGGTCATTGCTTCGGAAGAAAGTTTACATAATGCGGCGATCACATGATGTAATGCAACATCGTCAAGCCTCGCCGTTGAATCAAACAATTTATTTAACATAGCTGCCTAAAATTTGATAAATCTCAAGAAAAAAAAACTTATTGTATTCATAAATACACTAGTTCTTAAAATAAGTTATCAATAGCTCTATCTAAATATGAAAATGATTAAATAAACATACTACGACGGGAACATCAGCCATCGCAGCTGTTGTCAAAACGTTAGTATTGGAGTGCGAACTGGTTACTAGTGAGGTTCCATCAACGGCTTCGCCTGTAATTCTATTAATATATAAAGAATGTGGAGTATTTTCATTTAGCGAGCATACTGCTTCTGAATAAGGCATGAATGAATTGTTCAGAATTACTAAGAATTTTAAATGACTGTCTCTATCTTCCATATGGAGCCAATTCGCGCACGCTTATCTCACTTAAAAAAAAAAGAAATCATTGTGCAGACTGGGATACACCCACGCCTGTACGTTAGCAGTAAGCGTAGCTACAGTCCTTCCCAAATCTTTATTTACGAAGATCAGCCATAATGACGATGATTTTTCATACGCACAACCAAGGTTCAATAAATTATTGTTGTCAATTCACAATAACATTACATACCATCAGATCGAAACCCGCCTTGCATACTTGGGGTCATTCCCAAAATCCAGACTAAATGTTGCATTGAAGCTAGTACAAGATGCCAGCAATCACCCAAATCTTGACCGTTAGCTTCAGCGGAGCTTATCAGTATACGTGCCACTTGCACATTTTTGGCAGTTAACTAAAAAGCATAAAATTTACTACGACAGCCATCGAATTGCACTAAATATATTTAAAACGAAATCTTAATTGTAGAAATTTCCCAGAAAAACTACGAAGATTGAAGTAGTCAGTCCAGATCTGAAAGAAAGGGACGTACCATGACAGTTCCACTGTAAAAGTTTAAAGGAAGTGAAGGAGTTGGACAAATAGTATTAACAGCTATGATTTGACACGGCTGATTTGACAATGAATCATTTTCAACCTTTTCCACTTTGGAACCTTGAAATAAGGAAATTTACAATATTTCAACGACCACTGCTGTAACAGAGGCACTATGTACATACACTAACCAAAACATAAAAATAATAATAAGAAAGGAATATATAATTTTTTACAAACACAAATTTATGCACAAATTAAAGACAAGAAAATTTACAGAAAAACTGATACTCGACCGTATCGCATACTGCAACGCCTACCTATAATGTAAAATATGTTCAGATAGTCCAGCAGTTATTAGTAACTGGAAAATTTTTAATAACATACCAGACAAAATATCTTTGTCAAAGTGAGAATTAGCTGAAATTAAAGATCCTGGTATGGGAATTAAGCCACCGGAAGCACTTGCTATTCGCACTAAATATTTTGGTGGTAACGCAGCTTTACATAGAGCAAAATACGCGGCATCACGGCCAGCTGTATGACCTAGACGACAGGATAAAAGCGTCATCGTGACGAAGCATTTCAAGAGTTGCTCTGTTATTGATTCGTCGATACTAGAATCAATGGTGTAAAAAACCTTGAACGATACGAAAAAAAAAACGAAGTAGTAAACGACTCTATAAAGAGATTCTCAAACTACTTCAAAAATATTTAAATGTCTCGATAAAAACAAGGTTCAGAGATACCATATCCAACTCATCATTGTTTGTTTGAAGCACATAAAATCATACCTTGCATCAAGGAAAAGTGAAATTGCAACAAAAAGGCTTGTATAAGTTGATTGATACAGCTCTCGTGCTACATCTGCAAATGCTGGTTACTCTCAAAAGAATGAAAAAGGATTTTACTCATCAAATTGACAAACTTCTCAATATATTTAATTAGACTGATAAATCCTTATATTCATTGCAACCTTCTTTTTCTTTCCGTGAATGCAGAAATTCAATAGCTTCGAAAACTGATTGGCAGCAGCTACTGATACAATAATAAGTTAAAGATAATGAATAGCCATTAGGTAAATTCAGTGCTTCATGTTTTTCCAGGGAATCTAACCTGAAAAACAGTAAAGTCCAAGGAAGTTTGGTATTTATATGTCAAGTGCTTTTTAATGCTCATGGAATTAACCAAAATGAAACATGCAAAGACCAGCATTTCAAGATTCCGTGACTCAACGCAAATACGTCCTCACCGATAACGTAAGCGCACGTATCGATAGAATCGTTAGAAGATGCCATTCAACAATTCATTCTATTCAATCCACTCAATCCTGCTTGGTTAATTGTAAAAATTGCAACTACAAAAAATTACAATAGGGACTTCTTGGGAGTAATATTTTGACAAAGCGGAACCCACACACCACGATACTGAAAGCCTGGATGAGAGCCTGACTGAATGTTTGTCTCGAATTGTTCCTCATCCTTAGCAACTAAAATAACATTCTGAACAAACTTCTCAATTTAAAGCACAAATCAACAAAACATTAACAACAAATCAGCAAGCATGTTTACATCTACATATTAAGTGTATTAGGATGGAAATTTCAAAATTACACCACTAACGCTACCCGTTAACTACAGTTATGAAACCTGAAAGCATACATTATTATTGAACTCCATAAAAAACTTTCTTACGCAGTAAACTTACTGCTTTCTGACACATTGGGACGCAAAAATAACAGTTGTACGTACGCTGCCAAACCAGATACGATCGAATTAATCGCTTTCGTGGCGCCTGGCCTTGCGTCGTAATTTTCACAGAACCAACTAAAATAAATCTATTAATCGCAAATGACAAACACGGCGATGAGCACCAATAACCATTGATAAAACATGGAAATCAACAACGAAGATGGATTAACATGACTATCGGTAACAAATTCTGACGAACTAGTAAAACAATTTATGAGATGAAAATATACATCAAAAGTTCAGGCAAAACAACAATTCTGTACAAAACTTCGAGAGCAATAGCACGCTGCCATCCTAGCTTATCGGATTCCAGAAACTTTACAAGCAACGCCAAGAAAATTTCACATTCTGTCGCCTGAAACTATCATATCCAAGGCACAATAAATTCAAATATTACATAAACCGTTACGTAATCTTATAAGAAATTTCTTTGTCTCCCATTCCCAGTGTAAATACGGTCGTTCAAGATTAGCAAATTATTCTTTTCAATTAAATCAAAGCATAAAAACAACATAAACATACCAATAAGTTGTAATAAAGTGTAATCAAAATCACAACAACACGTAAAAGTCGCATCGAAATTGGAAAATATACACGCTCGGGTGAACAAGGCATTTGTGATGAAATAGAATCTACCGATGAGTGTGCACTTGGTGAACACGGATGTTGTGATGTGATCTGAATCAGATTAATTTAAATGTATGCCTACGATACATTTCGGTAGTGAAAATAAAAAAAAAAAAGCCAGTTTATTAGGGACAAAATCGAACCGATAAAACCAATATCATCGAAACAAATATTATAACAGAATAATGGTAATATGAAGTGGGACGGAACCTGTATCTGTTTATGATTCGGTGCGAACAGTTTGATGATTAAAGGACACACCTGGTCTTTCAATAACTGAGCAAATTCGGGATGCTGTAAAAAAAAAAAAAATGCAATTATTAAAAAGACAAAAGCGATACCATAAAATTATGAAAATTAAGGCAAAAATCTGTTCGACTTACTTAAAACATTTAAAAAGTTCGACCCATAAATAAGAAGATACTATGTTCATCAATTAACGACATAGAGTAATATGGAATAAGTGAAGAACCTTGACAAATACAGATGGATAGGAAGAAAGCACTGATTCTAACAATTCTAAACCTAGTGTACGCGTCATTTCCTGAATACCAACCAACCAAATTGGAGCCTCAGAGTTGATAAGCAAACAGAGGTCCTGAAAAAATATATATAAATTACTTCCACCGATGAAGATAGATCAAAGGAGCAATAATCATGGTGATCAAAGACACCTAACATCTCGAAAAAAATCAAGCAAAAAAACATACAAACAAAACGATACGAATATCCACCGTATCACCAACGATGTTTCTGAAATAAGAGATGAAAGCAAATTGGGCTTACGTGAAACAACATGTAACCATCCGAAGCGCATGGCCTTAATGTCGGTGGTGAAGCTTTCGCATGTACTCGTACAGCTTGATAAACATTTGGCATTTCGCAACCTTTCAAACCATCCTCCTTTAAAAAATCTCACCACTGGTAGGAAATATGGCAGCAAACAATTCTAAATTTCCTAATTTTCCTCAGTGCCCAAAATACCTTTTTTTGGCTTGTAAAAAAGAAATATTCCAAACATTGACGGTTTAATCAGGATGGGGAGAACATTAAATAAGCAAACAAAAGCAAAATCTGAAACGAAGCTACCTGGATAACCCGTTCGTAAACGCAGTTTACCATTTGTCGTACAGTTGCTGATGCTGTGTTTATTACAATTGGATCTTTTGCAAAATTTAAACGGAAGCACATTACTAAGCACTGGAATAAAAACAATACGTAATAAAATGATAATTTGAATCAGATTTTCAAAATAATATTGCATCTGAACAACACAATGAAAGTCACCTTTGCAAGCCACTGTCCGGTGACCAGTAATTCCGTGCTGACAAGGGGTGTTAATGTTTGCAAAATTCGTAATTCTTCGCATTCCGCTTCCATTAAATGCCAAAGTTCATTGACAATAATATGAGCAGAAGCCTGAAATAAATATTCATTAACCAAGTACAGTCTCCAAAACTCCTTTCAAGTGCTTATTTTTTCCGCAAACTTCAACAAGGATGAATTACGCTTCAATAACTTTAACGCTCGATAGGAAGAATGACTGTTAAACGATCCTAAATGTTTGATACATATTCAACAATACAACTAAACGGAACAGAGAATGTTTCAGCAAAATGAGGTGAAAAAAAAGAAAAAAAATTAAATTAATCCTTAGCTTAATAAAGGGCTAAAAAAAAGACACATGAAACAGGAACGTACGGATTCAATAACTCGATGTTGTACCATCTTTTGAATGGCTTGTAACGACACCTGAACAAGACGAGCATTTTTACTTGAACAACCTAAAATAAGCGGTTGTAACAGTTCGGCACTAGCAAAGCGTATGTTTGTCAGCAGATTTTGCTCATTGGATGCTGCACTGATATTCTTTATCTTCACGAGACCTGATTCAGCAGCCTGGAAAACGCAGATTTAGCAATCATGAAAATGACGGAAACCGTAACGCATGTTAACTGGAAATTCGAAAGTTAGTGATCTGTGAAGTGAAAGGTGGTTCTGAAGTTCAGGACTTGAATATATTTAGATATTTTAATTAATCTTACAGCACTCGAGTTCGAAATAAAGTCAGTGGGAAAAGTGACTTACATGTAGTATAACAATGTAGCAAATTTGTAACTACCTCCTTAACTTGTGAATGTTTTTTCCTGGCCTCTGTCGAAAGCGTCCGCAAATCTGATAGCAAATTTTCGACCAGTCTTTTTGCTTCGACAGCTGTAGAGAACGGTCCACTGTTTGACATCAAAACCTTAAGCAAAAAACTTTACAGATACATGCTGTTCGCCGTTGCATGCATACCTTATTTTTCTCAGAATTAAAATAATAAACCGGTTTTACAGTTTGGTATAAACCAAATAAGTACTGGAAACCGCAATAAACACCATGTAGTCACCTTGATAACTTTACACAGCTCATGCTGGATAAAACAAAATTCGCTGGAAAGTTGCGAGTAAGACCTTCCGTTTGGGAACGGCATGGCCGAATGACGAATGATTACAGCTACATGCTCAGAGATAAAATATTCATCTCAAGTTCAAAAAAATATGAAAATAAACGCAATAACAGACTTAAGTAATGAAGTAATGGTGGTTTAAACCAGGATATATCCACCTTTTTTGAAGAACAAACTATTTTATTCATTACCCCTTGACATTGTTCAACGTGATAAAATGCACCACTGAAATATCCACTGATGATTTATGGGGGAAAAACAAACAAATAAAAAATGCAACCATACACAGAATTTAGAAAAATTTCAATGAAAGTTGGAAAGTTGATATAAATGCAACATCACAATAACAAATAACAATATATATATGTATGTATATAT